AACAAGCAAAATCCTAATTTCCCATCCTCTTTTACTTCTTCCCACTCAATTTTGATGCGTAAGAGAATCGTGAATAAGCAACAGAAAAAAATGAAAGTGTTCAGTTACTTTGATTTCCTAAGAAAGAAAAGAAGTAACTCCGTGATTTTTGCTTTCTCTTTATTCAGCAATGCAATCACTAGAGGGAGGCAGATGGTAAATTTATCTGTCCTAAGCTCTCAGACAGTCTGTGGTGCCTCTAGAAATGACAGCAGAGGAGTTGTAAGTAGGAGCTCCTAGGACATCATGCTGCCTGGGGGGGAAATTTGAGCACTTGCTGAAATCAGCTTAATTTTGTTGACTGTGCACACTGGCAGCCCCCAAGGTGGCCGTGTCCCTCTCAGCAGCTGTGGCCAGCCCTGGTGCCTCGGCAGCCTGCGGAGCTGCTTGGCTGCTGAAGGTCATGTGGAGTCCCTCAGCTCATCCTGGGAGAGATTCAATCCCATCCCAAGAAATCAGGAGTGGAGGAGCAGCTGGTAGAAAGGCTGAGACATGCAATTAGGGTTTTTTGGCCCCGTGGCGTGGAGTTTGTGCAACTTGGCACAGGGCCAGTGTGAACATGCCCACCAGCTCTTCCCCAAGAGATAATCTTGGTCCAGGTGTGCCCACAATAAGAATCAGCAACTGCTGAGCACGAGGATTCAGTCAAAATGGCCAAACATCCTAATGGGTAATTTATGTTTTTATAGAAATAGGCTGAAACTCAAAGAATTGCTACCAACCAACCAAAAAAAAAAACTCCCTGCACATTAAAATTCCTCACTCTAATACTTACATATCAGCAAATAAAAAATACTCTTGGCCTTACGATTTATTTCACCATCTCTGCTTTACCATCTGTTAAGCTAAAATGGAGCAAATGCTCCTGTTCCCCTGGCGAACCAGATGATACCTTGGGGACCTCCCTGCTTTGCAGCAGGGTTGCCATCACATGACGTGTTTATCCAGCTGTGTGCTGGACATCTTGTCCAGAGGGATCCTGTGAGAAATGGTATCAAAAGCTTTTATAGAAATCCAAGAAGATTATATCAGCTGTCTTCCCTGGATCAGCTAGTTGGGTTACCTTGTCATAAAAGGAAATTAGGTTTGACAAGCAGGGCTTTCCCCTCATTGGCTGTGACCAATGACTGTGTTGTCCTTCAGGTGTTTGTCAATACCTCCCAGAATAGTCTTCTCCATAATTTACCAGTCACTGAAGTGAGACTGACAGGCCTGTAGTTTCCAGGGTCATCCTTCTTGCCCTTCTTGAAAACTGGGACAATGTTAGCCAGCTTCCAGTCAACTGGGACCTCTCCAGATTCCCAAGACAGTTCAAAAGTCATTGAGAGAGGCCTCACAATGACACCAGCCAGCTCTTTGAATATTCTCAGATGAATCCCATCAGGCCCCATAGACTTATGGGGGTCCACCTGGAGCACCAGATCAGAGTCAACTGGGGGTTTATCATTCTCACTGGAATGGTCCTCCAGCTCAGTGAACTGGGACCCCCTCAGTTTGTTAATAGTGTTGAAGACAGAGACAAAGAATGCATTAATCTTTGCCTTGTCTGTATCCCTGTTTGGGAGGTGACCATCCTCACCCTGTAATAGGCTGCATTGCCTTTTTTCCTTTAATATATTTTAAAACCCTCTTTTTGTTGCCCACCACGTTGCTGGCCAGCTTCAATTCCAACTGAGCTTTGGCTGCATGGATGTCCCTACAGTGGAGAACAGCATCTCTGTGTTCCTCTCACGTCACCTGACCTCGCTTCCACTAAGCACACACCTTTCATTTTTGCCATAGTTCCAGAAGAAGATCCCTGCTTGGCCAAGCCAGCCTTCTGCCTTGTCTGCTTGATGTGTTCTCAGCTAACATCTGGCAGGTTGAAGTTTCCCATAAGGACAAGGACTCCATATCTGGAGGGATTCAAAAGTTGTGCAGACGTGGTGCTCAGGGACGTGCTTCAGTGGTGGGCTTGGCAGTGTTGAGTTAATGGTTGAACTCAATGATCTTGGAGTGTTTTTCCAAGATTCTGTTTTTATGATAAGTGTGGAAGGGGTTTTGTAGGTTTGTCCACACCTGCCATGGGACAGCAAGAGGGGATTTAGGATCACTTTGAACACGTGTAGTTACAGACAAGTGGCTGTGGGAGGAAGAGGGTTGTGCTGGTGCAAGAATGAACAGGCTCTCACTGCCCTTTTGGTCACTGGTACTGCACTGGAATGAGCAGAAAAGCTTAAAAACTGGGAGCTGGGATGCAGTTGCTTGCTGAAAACCCAGGTGACTGGGATGGTCTGATGCACTGCTTGTTTTGACCCACATAAAACCCATGGGTTTATTTGTCCCTGAACATCCATCAGCCTGTCAAGCTGTGATGACTAGAAGAAAAAGAGGAATTTTTATTTTATTTTGCTAAGTGACGATTGACATTTTAAAGGGAAAACTGTCAAAGCCACATGTCAAGCAGCCAAACTGCCTAATCTGTGTGGCCCCTAATGACAAGTTAGATTATTACAGCTGAAAGAATTTTAAGCATCTAATAATGTATATATCATCACCCAGGCCATTTGCTTTCCACACTTTAGTAAGTGTAGATGAGGAGAGAAGGTGCTTGTATTTCAAGGCAGTTTCACCTTTTTCCCCTCAGTCCTGCGTCAGAATGGTGCAGCCCTGGGGAAAATCACAGCCTTCAGCAGGGGCCAGTTAAAATGTTGTGATGAAAACACTCAGTTTTACATTGGGGCTTTTTTTTTTTGTCCCCTTCAGTAATTGAATATTTTTTAATTTTTTTTTTAAGACAACAAGCACCTTCTGTGTCATGTTGGGGTGTCAGCATCACTTTAATTCCAGATTATAGCATTATGTGTTATAAATGGGCAAATGCCTTCTCACCCAAGCACGCAGCAAAGAAAGAATAGTTGGACAGCAAATTGAAAGGGCAAGTATATCCCTAACAAGTGATAGCTGGCCTCATTTCTTCGATTAGCTAATTGCTGTCACAGGTGTAGCAAGGCCATATATGAGTGAGTGGGTGGTAGGCTAGCCTCTCTACTGGGGGGTTGTGTTTTGGAGAGAGGCTGGGGAAGGTGGTGATCCCACCTTTGCTCTGTCTGGTGGGTTATTTTAGGGAGGGGAAGAAGTGTTGGTTTTGGTTTTTGTTTTTTTTTTTTTCTCCTTTCTCTTTTTTTGTGGTCTCATTTCAATGTGCCTCTGGTAAATCTCTGCCATGAAGCCTTTGCCCTCCCTGTTGCTTCTTGCCCTGCTCCTGCTGCTTGGGGTGTGGGGCCCAGCTGCTGGTGGGCAGGCTCCCAGGGTGATGCTGAGGTCCTACTCTGATGCTGCTGATGCTGCTCCAGGGGTGAGTGATGGGAAGAGGGGATTCAGTTGCCTGTAGGAAACGCCCTTCTTGGGTGCCATGTCCTGCCTGCTTACAAATCCCTGTCTCCTCTGTGTGGCCTCTAGGGATTGAAGCACAGCTGGGCTTTTCTTGCTGTGTTTTGGAGGTGGTTTTTGTATTGGTTGTGGTCCAATGGTGTAAATTGGGCGATTCTTCTGGACATGGGGAGGGGTGAATATTTATTATCACATGGAATAAACAAAGTGGCCTTGGGGCTTGGTCCAGGTACAGGCAAAACCTCAATCTGCCGTGGTGGATTTGGTGCTCCCTTCCTATCAGGCTTGGAATGCCATTTCTCTGAGCAGCATTATAGGCATGGGCAATGGTACTTGGATCTGCAACAGGAGTCTCTCTTTTTTATAGGCACAGGGATCCTCTCAGAAATATGGGAAGGTTAAACCAGGTAAGAGTTAATTCCCACACTAGTTTCTTCTTCTACTCAGAATTAGTTGGGTACCTCAAGCCAACAATAAGTGGTGTGGAAAGTCAGGCCCTGGGGTGAAATGGAGAGGGAAGGGGATGTGGCCTGATCAGTATTGGGTGCTGGGGTGAGGAAAAATCACTGCTAGTGTGGGAGAGAACCTGTGCCACTATCCTGTGGCTGCCAAATCGGTACCACAGGGCAGGTCCTGGAGGCAGGAGCAATGCACTGCAGCAATTAAAACAAGTAGCAAAAGTTCAACCCAAACTTTATTTGTGCTCCTGTAGGGTAAACCTATTATGAACCTGTGACTCTTCTAGCTTTGAGAAGGTGTTTTTAGAAAACACTGTATTTCTTCCTGCTTAAGGGAAGGCGCTTCACACTTTGACAAGATACTAATATTGCTTATCCTACTGAGGCTTTAAGGGCTTCTGGCTTGGCTGAGCCCTTTAAAGCAAAGAGATTGAAAACACCTTCAGGAGAGCTTTATCTCCCATCTCTGTGTATAAACAACAAACATCACCTGTGTGTTGAAACCAAATGTAACAGTACCCTCATTGCTTTTGTGCCTCGCCCAGGTGTGGCAATTCCCTGAGCCTTTAGTTTTGATACCTAAATAGCCTAATCCTGCAGATGAGAAGCTGTCTTCCTGGGACAAGTAGCACCCACTGTGTCGCTGTGCTGGGACTTCTGTGCTCCTGCATGGCTGTGGCAGTGGGGCTTAAAGCATGAGAGTGCCCTGCTCCAGGGTGGTAGCAGTGAGGGTACAGCCTGGCTCCACATGGAGCAGGAGGTGGTGGTGGCAGCTAGGGCTTCTCCAGCTTTGCAGGTACTCTGGAGTGGCACACACAGGTGGGGCGAGCACTGATGGGGCAGAAGTTTGGGGTAGGTTGCTGGCAGCTGTGGCTGGAAGGGTTGGCAGTATTAGGCACACCCCAGGCTGGGTGTGGGTGCAAGCTCAGGTGGCCTCGCCCCCCGGACTTGAGATGGGGTTACTTGCGTGTTGTTCTGCTGATGGATCTGCACCTTGATTGGCAAATGGGAGCAGGAGGTACCATAACGGGGAAAAAGAGTGACCTTTAAAATAACTTCTGGTGATAAGGACTGGTAACTCTGGAACAGGGAATAGGGGAAAACTTTGTTGTTGCTTCTTGTCTTCCAGAGTCTCCTTGGCTATTAGCATTTGTGCCTATAAGAAGCTGCCATAGAGTTCTGAAGGACAAGTATGGGGAGTTTTCTTCTCCAGCATACCGTGGTGATTTCCCCATAAGCTTCTGGTGCAACTGGACAATCTGGGCAGGCTCCAGAAAGCACATAATAATTTATATTCAAGGCTTTAACACTAAGGAGGACTGCAACAAAAATGAGGACAAAATTCTATTTGAAGGAGTTTCTTCACTGGTGGAAAACAGTGTTATTTATTCTTGCTGGAAAAAGGAGATGCATGTTTTTGCCACCTTTGCTCAGGCTGTCCACGTTGTGTTGCTGAAGAGGTACTTGCCAAACTGCAGAGATGCACAGTTTAAAGGGAAATACTACATCTTCCAAGACCAGGAAGGTGAATCTTCCTCCAAAGATCATATTACTTCTGAAACTCCTGCTCCAAAACCACCAAAGCAACACAGTATTTTTCAGTCTGGCTGGGTTGAAAACCTTAGAAGTGTGCTGGGCTTTTCAACCACGTGTAGCACCATGAGACTTGGCAAGACCGCAGTGCTAGGTGGTGAACTGATGCAGGAAAGAGGGACCACTCTGAATACCATGGCTGTGGGAAGTCCTATTGAGCTCATCCCAAGTGAACGTGCAAAGATGCTGCCTCTGGAAACAAAAGCTCCTGCTGAGCTGGGGTCTGAGCTGCCGGGGGTTCAGGAAGCTCAAGGCACAGGAACACCTGAGGGTATAATCCCCACTGCAGCACAGGACAGCTGGGGGCAGAGCCTCTCTGTGAGCGGGGACATCACTGTGGGTTTTGGCTATACGCTCAGGCTTTCAAGTGTGCTTTTGGAAACTCCTTTGCTCGGTGCCTTGCATGCAGCAGAACCTCTTTTGCAGCCAGCAGGTGTGAGTCTGGAGAACAGCCAGTCTGTCCTGAGCACTACCTTGAAGCCAAAAGGTCTGGGTGACCTACAATTTACTATTAAACCAACACGCACAGGTTGCCTGGACTCGGCTGCACGCTCGCAATCTGTGTCCCCTGGCAGAGGAGAAAGCCAAGAAAGTGCAGGTACCACCAGGAACCAGCAGCTCAGCACAGTCAGCTTGGAGGAGGGTGAAAGCCATCCCCAGCTGAGCATCCCAGCTGATGGCACAGCGAGCAGTGAAGCCGATGGCCTTGCACAAGGCCTGACGCCCAGCCTGAGCAGCCCCTACGAAGTGGTAAACAAAGACCACTTGAATCTGCTACCTGAGAGAAGCCCGAGCTGCCAAAGCAGTTTAAGGCACTTGTCCACACCTAAATCTGAGCTGGGAACAGCTGGCCTCCAACATACAAAGCTCATGGGTATTTCCCCTCTGGAAAGCTCTAGGGGTGTTGTCAGGAGGAAAACAGCGCTGCTCCCCACAGCACCGCGGGACATCCTGCAAGAGCATCCTCATTTGCGTGGCCGGAGCAGTCATGTCCTGCACTTGGACCCTACAAACAAAAAGCTTCCCCAAAATGCCCAAACACGTGACTGTCCAGCTGCTGAGAAAGCTCATGTGTATTCCTTGGGTGTACAAAGCTGCGACCACCAAAGCGACAGAGCTGCACAGCCCGGGCTGGCTGCACACACTTTGCCAGCAGGGCTGGAGCATCCTCTCACACCCATGCCTGCCTCAGGGGCAGAAACAACCCCTCTGCTGGTGACCTCCAGCACAGCACCTGTCCCTGTAGACTTCAGCTCTACGAATTTAATCCCTGAAGCACCTCTTCCTCCACAAGTGGAACCTGTGTCCAAGGTGGCCTCTCTACCAGCCGCTTTGGATCTGGACCTTGTCGGTCCCAGGCGAAAGGTGGCCATGTCCCCAGCTAGCCCAGGAGGACAGGAGATGGTCTGCCCTTCACCACCTTGCCACTCATCACAGCAGAGAACTGTCTCCTTCAGCACCACTCCTGCACATCCTGATCTTCCTGCAGCCCCGTGGGAAGGAACACTACCAAGAGACCAAAAGCCTTGGGATCCCTCTGATGTATCCAGAAACACCCAGACACCAGGACAGCAACAGAAACATGCTGGTAGGTCTTCCAGTACTCTGAATTTTGGTGTAGCCCATCTTCAGAAGGCCAGAAGTACTTGGTGAGGGCAAGGCCAAGGCTGTGTTTTTCACCTGCAGTCTCCACCTCGCCATCATAACCTGCTCTCTGGGGAGAAGTGTGGTGGGTTGACCCTTTCTGGACACCAGGTGCCCACCAGAGCTGCTCTCACTCCCCTGCTCAGTGGGACAGGGGAGAAAAAAATATAACAGAAGGCTTGTGGGTTGAGATAAGGACGGGGAGAGATCACTTGCCTATTCCTGTCATGGGCAAACCAGATTCAACTCAGGGAAGTCACTTTAATTTATTATCAATCATATCAGAGTAGGAAATGAGAAATCAAACTAAAGCTTAAAAACAGCTTTCCCCTATCTCTTCCTTTTTCCTAGGCTCAACTTCACTCCTGGTTTCTCTACCTCCTCCCCTGCCCCGAGAGGTGCAGGGGGACAGGGAATGGGAGCTGTGGTCACTTCACACATTCTCTCCTGCTCCTTCCTCCTCCTCAGGAGGAGGACTCCTCACACTCTGCCCCTGCTCCAGTGTGGGTCCCTTCCACAGGGTGCAGTCCTTGAGGAATAGGCTGCTCCAATATGGGTCTGCTGTGGGGTTGCAAACCTGCTCCAGTGTGAGCTCCTCCCTCCACAGGGCCACAGGTCCTGCCAGCAGCCTGCTCCAGCACAGGCTTCCCATGGGGCTACAGCCTCCTTTGGGCATTCACCTGCTCTGATACGGGTTGCTACAGGGGCACAGCTGCCCCTTCGTGGGCTGCAGGTGAACCTCTGCTCCAGTGCCTGGAGCCCCTTCTTCCCTTCTTTCTGCACTGACTTTGGTGTCTGCGGAGTTGTTTCTCTCACACAGTCCATTCCTTCCTTCTGTCTACTGTTGTGCAGCAGATTTTTTTCCCCTACTTAATTATGTTATTCTCGAGGCGCTGCCACCATTGACGATGAGCTTGGCTTTGGCCAGTGGTGAGTCCATCTTGGGGCTGGTTGGTACTGGCTCTGCTTTGTGCAGCCCCTCGTAGAAGCTCAGCTCCAATTGCAGAGTGGATATGTGGCTCCAGGGGCTGAAACTATGGAAACCTTGCAGAGAGAGAGGGTCTGAAATGGTGCCTCTTCTGTGGCAATTTGCAGTTCTCCTGGAAATGTGATATCTATGTTGTCTTGGTGCATATAATGACCTTTGATTACACGTTTCTTTTCTGTGTTTCTGATGTGTCAGAGTTGGGACCTCCCTGGGCAGTGGAGTACTTTCCCCTCAGAAGCTGCCATCTCATCTTTTGGGATAGGTCTGGGGTGTTTTACCTCCCGCTGCATGCTGACATTAAAACCAACATCTGGTGCAACTGGACCATCTGGGCAGGCCCCCAGAAGCACATTGTTATCTATGTCCAGGGATTTGAGGGGAGCGACGGCTGTGGCAACAACCAGGACAAGATCATCTTCCAGGGGGTCTCATCAACTGTGGAAACCAAAGTGGTCTATGCCTGCCACAACCGAGGCACTCTGGTCTTTGCTACGCAAGCTGCTGAGGTCCAGGTGTTGTTTCTCTCAGGGACTGGCTCCCAAAGCCATAAATACAGATATTTTAAGGGACAGTATTACATATTCAGAGACTCTGAAGCTGTGGGCTCTTCAAACGATACCATAGCAGCTCCCCAAGAGCCTGACAAGGAGACCTCTAAAAAGAGAGCTGGAGGACAGAGGCAACAAAGGGTTTACTGTCCATGCTCACTGCCTCTCCAGGCCCACCAGCTACCCCTGCTGGTGGCAGGATCCAGCCTGAGCTTGTGAGCCCAGATGGAAAGGCCCAACACCCTCCCGATCCCATAGAAGATGCTCAGTTTGGTACTAACCTGAGCAAGCTTGACCCGAGTGAGCATGGTCAGCTGCAGGATGAAACCAAGCTGGAAAAGAGCCTTCAGGACGGTGGCACTGAGAGCAGAGAAACTGAAGATGATGTGTTGGTGAAGACAGCTCCAGCTGGGCAAGACGCTGGGCGTAAAGATGAGCCATCTGCTGTGGAGCTGACCAGGGGAGTGTAGAGCCAGTAACTGCCCTGGCCACCGTGGTCCCAAGTCACTCAACTGATTTTCCTTTCTCAGAGGTGCCCAGCAGTGACACAGGTGTCTCTGACAAATCATCCAGTCGGGGTCAGGCCAGTGACAGCCTGTCAGACGAAGTGGCTGCTGCTACACATCACACACAGGCACCAGTGCTGGAAGAGCCACCACTGGACACCAGCACAAAACCTTCTTTCTACCCCTCTCCTGGTGTGACTGCTGGTGATACGGTGTCTCCGGGGGAAAGGACTGAAGAGCTTTCTGGTAAGGTGTTTTTTGAGTTATCTGCGGCTGAACTGATGCCTGACACTGTGCGATATCCATCTCCAACGATGCGTCTTTCTCTTAAGAGGTTTTATTTGTAGATATGGCTGTTTCCTTCAGTTGGTCCATGCAGTAGCACTCTTGACTCCTGTATCCAGGGCAGGAGGTACTTGAGAAGACATAGAATTATCTGCTGTAACGTGGCCATCTATGGGATGACACTACTCATAATAGTGACAGGCTGGTTTCTTAACTCATTTTTTTTTATTATCCGTGGAGGAGCCAGCCTCTCCGTTGTGAATGCTATCTTGGCTTTAAACACCTCTGGCTTGCAGTGATTCCTATGTAGCCTGTCACAGTACTCCCAGGCATGATCACAGAGTTTGAGCTCCAGAAGTTGGAGAAAGGGGGGGGGGGAAGGCTTTTATCTCCTAGGAGTTGATGGCAGACTACTTTCACAGAAATATTTAGCCACTGATGTACATTAATTTCTGCCAGAAGGTAGAAGATGTTTTCAATTGGTGTTTCGTCCCCTCCATTGTAGATTTTATTCAGCTTTTTTTGTGTGTTTTCTGGCATGTAATGCACAAGCAGTTTTGCTCTGTTGGGCTCCAAGGCAGCTCCAGTAGCTTCACAGGGGTAACATTTCATCTGCTTCCAGAAATGGAAACGAGGTTTATTGGGGTGATTTCTTTCTAAGTAGCACTTTCCACTACAGAGGAGAGCAGATTGTATTTAGAGCTTGATATTTAATTTCAGTATAAAGACTAGAGAAAAAAAAAAAAACCAGAAAAAAGGAGCTGGCATGTGTCACTCTTCTTGCAAAGTGACACAGACCTAATGTCTTTTCCTTCCCCAATTACTGGTACTTTGGGTTCAGCAGCCTGATGCTTTCCCTTTCTTTGACAGATCTGGTTTCTGCCCTGGCATCTCTGGAGAATGGCACAGCTCTGCAGTCCCAGCACCATCCCGGAGGTGAGTCATGCAAGGAGTTAAGTGTGTCTTGAAACACTGTCCCAAGTTCAGTGAGCTGACTGGGGCTGTGCTGGACATCACCTGCTCATTAAATTTAGAAATCAGGGGGGGTTGTTTCTGAGTAGTAACCACTCTGAAGATGTTAGGTTTTTAAGATACCACTGCAATCCCACAGTTGTTCTTTGACCACTTTGTACCTCTCCTGAAGAAACCTGATTTCACACGCCTGTTATAAATGTTGGCTTGTTCAAGTTTAAGCATTACTTGTTGGCTAATTAAGGAAAGAATTTTCTAAGGTGAATGAACTTCAATTCCTCCAATACATTCCAATGGGCACCTTGTGACTACTGGAATCAGAAACCTGCAGAAGCCCTGCTCCTGAGACTAGGGAGAGAAGCAAAACCCCTTTATGGGAGTACTAGCAACTAGGCAGCATGATGCTGGGCTTACATGGCAGAGCAAGCCACAGAAACAGCTTGCAAAAAGGAGTCGATACAGAAGGAGCCTGAGCTCTGAACCTGAGAAATATTGGTGAATAAAGGGGTTTTAAACAGCAGACTGGAAAATTTGTGCCAGCCTGGGTTCAGCCAGAGCACTGCGGTTTATTTGAGCTGATCCCAGAGATGGGTGAGAGAAGCGGGCTTTTGGATCCCGTCACAAATTATGATGACACCTTTAGGAAGCAGAATAGCTAAAGACATGTGGATGTGATTGGACATGCATTACTGGGGTTTATACTTTTTTTCACCGAAAGATCAATTCTGGTATTCAGCGATGAGCATTGCCTAAGGTTTGTTTTCACCTGTTGTTTAACAACTTGTACTACCTGATGCATAGCCTCTGGAAATACCCACGTGGCACTGACTTGCACGAGCATGTCCTCATGGATTTGTTCTGCTAGTGCTGACGTTTTAGGACTAACTCATTTAAGGAGCCTGTTGGTGTTATGTGGATTTGAACATGCCAGCATCTTGTGTCTTCTGGTAGATGTGCTGTTTGAAGTAACTATTGAAGTCAAACCCAAGGACTGGATTCCTCAGGGTGGAAGTGAGCTCCAAAAGGGTCTTCTTGAATCTGTGAAGAACCATGTAAGTCTGGGTATGGGGAGGTGGAGAAAAACAACACATGTGATGTCCCAAATCTTCAACTAGAAGAGACCATTCAGTGCCATGCACTCCAGAGATTTTCTGCTGAAGCCACACGATGAGCCATTTCCTGAGTTGTTTGTGCTGTTCATCATCTGAGGCCTGCTTTCAGGGCTGCACCTAAACTTTCTTTCTGGAATGCAGACTGGAGCAGCTACAGGGTTCGGCCTCCTGCTTAGCCTAGAAAGCTGCTCTCCTTCAACTGCTGCTCTGCAATGGCTTCATACCCACTTCCCTGGGGTTACTATTGCCCTTCCTTTTTCCAAATTCACTTTTGTGTTTGGGAGCTGAGCTGAAGCTAAGCAGGTAGGAATAATTAGTGCTCTCCTAAAGAGGAAGCTCAGAGCAGTGGGCTATGGGACATCTACTGCATCCAGGTGATTTGGGAAGGGGAAGAGCAGGATGAGGAGGTAGACTGAGAAAAGAAACTGCTGTCATACTCCTGTCAAATATCAAATCAGCACTGGTCGCTCTGTTCCTTTGCAGATACAGAAGAACCTGAAACTTTCTGCCAACAGAGTCAATGAAATAAAGTTAAATGATGTCAAAAGGTAGGGTTACTGCTGTGCTGTTACTACCTGTCTTGACAGGTGACTGCTATTACCTGTAATATTTCTTTGATTGCATTGTCTGGGTTCTCATTTTCCTTCCCCAGGGAGACACATGTGCTTGCTCCTCTCCTGTGATCTGTAACTTGTCCTGAAATTAGAAAAAAAAAAAAAAGGCTGTTTTCTTGAGGAAAGATGGTGAAAATTGATGTTTAGTGCTAGCTTGGGCCTACATTTTTCTGGAGAAAAATGAGAATTCTCACAGTTGCCCCACAGTGCTTGCTGGATAAAGCTGGGAGCTGCCAGCAAGGTCCCACCACACTTGACTGAGGCTTATCTGGGACTTCAGATTGCCACTACAATTCACTGTACACAAATATCTAGTCACATCAGCCTAGCTCCAAATTGGGCTTTCCTTTTTCCCTTGGTCCAAGTGCAAAGCTGCCTCTTGTCACAAGTAACTTTTGCAAGAGCCTGCAGCACCACAATCCAACAGGAGTGGGTAGAAGGTCTAAAAGGGCTATCAGATCTGAGCCTGGACTGACTTTTTCCGCCTGCCTTACCCTGGGCTCTCTCCCACCTGCAGCACAAGGGATGCCAACCTGCTGCTCACCTTCTGGCTGCATCTGAAGCCGGAGGAGAGGAATGTGTCTCTGCACCTGCGCTCCCAGCTGGAGGAGCTGCTTGGCAACTCAGCAGGAGCAGAGAAGCTGCAGCTTGTTTCGCTGTTTGTTCAAGGTGGGTGGTTCACTTTTTTTCCCCCCTGGGACAAACCCTTTTATGCCAAGCCTGACCTGATTTAGGGCATCTGTTCCCCATCACAGACGTGAACGAGTGCAATGCCGGGGTTGGCCTCTGCGGGGAGGAGGCAGAGTGCTTCAATGGCGTGGGCAGCTACCTCTGCCGCTGCAAACAGGGCTACGAGGATCATTCTCCCACCAAGTCCGGCACCCTCTGCATCCGCACCCCCCGATCAGGTAGAGGACAAAACAGCAGTTCCGCTTTCTCTTGCAGCTGGGTGTTTTCTTGTACGTGTGGGTGAGTAATTTGTGGACTACTGTATGTGATGTTACTGAACTGGTGGCTTTAGATGCCCTTGCCCTGTGTGGCAAGGATGTATAATATCTCTGCAAGGCAGTTCGCAGCTGGCACGGTAACCTCTCCATGAGCTTCCCTTTCCCCAGTCTGCTGCTTTCCCTGGATCAGGGTTACAACCTGGCACGTGAGCCTTGAAGTTATAAGCAAAGTCAAGGTCAAGGGTGATTTATGAGCTACCTCTGCTGTAACTCATGTGATCAGCATCAGGCCACTCCTGGTAGTGCCCTGTGTTCTGCTGTCACACTGTGAAGATCTTGGTGAGAAGGACATTTGTGTGCCTGGTGTCTACCCCAGAGCTCCCCCCGATGTATTTGACACAAGGCTGAGCAGATGGCACGTGGTGCTTGACTGTAATCAGAGATGGCTAATCCAATCTTGCAGATTAATGGGGCCTCGCAGCCTGACAAACATCAATATTCTGCAGTATGTACTCAAAACTCTGCTGCTGTTTTACCAAAACTACTTCACATCCCTGCAGCGGCTTTAAACCTCAATGTGAGTCAAAATATATAGCTGTGAGCCAAATATAATTTCACACCCATGCTACCAACTGCAAGTTAATTAACAAGATGTGCGGTCTAAGTCTATGCAGATCAGCTGGTTATTGTTATATTCAGGTATAGGTGATTTTATAAATTCATTTATCCATTGGGTCATGGAGAGGGTCTCTTCAGACCTGGAAGGGAATGGCAGCAGGTATTTTAGTCCTTGTGGGTTTGACAATGCCTCCACTCTGTTGGGGTTCTCCTGGGGGTAACACCATGCCTGTGATGCTCCTGCAGGCTTGCTCTTGGTCTAAATATTTCTTTGGGATGGATGTCTGGGAGAGATGCTCTGCCCTCAGGGCAGGTGTGAGGGTTTCTGGACAGCAGCAGGTGAGAAGAGGTTGAACTTCCTGGAGGAGCACCCACAAATCCGGGTCTCACCCCTGAGCACTGCAGTCAAAATACAGGGGGCTTTATGGGCACACTGGGGGCCTCTGGGGCAATGGCCCCTGCGATGAGGCCGTGGCCTTTCTCTGGCAGGGATCAGCTTCTTCCTCCGTCACGCTGACACCGT